CATTAACTTTATTTGTACTCGCATTATTAGTAGTCATAAGGAAATAAATGGTAATTAATGTTAATAATAATGGTTGCTCTTAAAGAAATTTGGTGAAGTTTAAGGCCTTCAGTTTGGTATCCCAGGGCAGAGTGTCAGGAATGCTAGATAATTTTTGACCTCGACTCATATCCCTGTGCTAACACTCATCACTAAAGGCTTTCTACTTTATCTTTCTGCTGTACACTGTAGGATTGTGAGTAAATACCAGTAGTTCATCTGAAGTTATATCAAATTAGATCTGCTTCAGATCTTAACAGAAATCAGTTCTGAATTTTAAAAAAAAGCAAATTATTAAATCTCTTACTTCTGAACTGTGTTAAGGATAACAGTCAATTATATGATTTCTTCATCTACGACATATGGCATTTAATTAACTCGTACTAATCTCAAGATTAATTATCAGAAGTGCTATTAATGACAAGTTTGCCAAGTCACACTTCAGCTTGAAAAGAACTGACCTGAGCAAAGATGTTCGTAGAAAAACTTATCCAGGATCTGTCATAGATTGAATTCATATTAAAATAAGGTTTTAGGTTGTTCGAGAAATAATAACTGATCGTAGAATTAACTTTGATTCCTGATTTAAACTGTGTTCAAATCAGTCAAAATAGGAAGTTAGAGATTCTTGGTAAAATCCTGGCATCTCGGTACCAATCACATTGCCGATACCATAACGTACTTTCTCTTTGTCTTTTCTATAAATATTTTCATGGTAATTTCTCTGATGAACTTTCTGCGATACCTGGACGTTATGGTTTTAAGGGCAGTACAAAAGTACTAAGCGCAATAACATTTCAACTTTTTACATTTAAAATGGCTAGATCTAACCTTAACTTCTATGTTGACAGTTTCTTCTGTCGGACTTCTCGCTTGTGGAACGCGCTTCTGGCTTCCTGCTTTCCAGACAAATAAGATTTTCAAAAATTTAAATGCAATGTCGGTCGCTATCTACCGTCCACCTGATTACTCTTTTCGGATGGGTGGACGAAAAAAGGCGCCAAATATGAAGTTGTCAAAAGAAAAAAACGAGTATTTAAATAAACTGTTTGTCATTAACTCGCAAGCCCTTTGCTATTCGTTTTTATAGAATTAATATTTATTTTGTCTAATTATTGGCCCTGCTATTGATTGTAATTCAATCAGTGTTACAGGCAGAACATTATGGCTGATAAAACGGAGAGACAATTTTACATTAAAATACATTTTTAATCGCTTTTACCCGATCAGTCAGTTATGTACCATGAACGATACACGCTTAGGAGACCATGTACCTTTCAATATATGACTGACGAGGCAGATTTTTTCCGCAGTAGGTTGTCATTTCTTTCTACAGTAAACCAGTTGCCATCCAAGACTATTTCCCCATAGTTGGGGGGGTGTAGAAGAAGAGGATTCATGACTTTCCCAAGGGTATTAACACGTAAGTGAATGTAATGGATTCGACTCGAAAGTCAAGTCAGTCAGTTATGTACCATGCGTGATACACACCTTGGCAATCATGTATCTTTCAATACATGACTGACGAGGCAGATTCTTTCCCGCAGTAGGTTGCCATCTCTTTATGCGGTAATTTGTCATTCATTTCTGCCATCCAAGGCTATAGAATCCGGTCTGTCCTGCTATTTACCCATAGCTGGTCGATGATTCATATCTTTCCCAAGGGCATAGTACGTAAGTGAATATAATGGATTCGACTGGAATTTGAACTCGGCTCTCCAATTCCTCAATCCGAGCCGCTATCCATTACTCCACTGTGCCTCCTGTTTCACTCCATGCAAGGCAGTAAAGTCACTAAGACACAAGGGGTTACTGGGTGTGGAAGAATTAGGAACAGAAACATTAATAATGAGCGGGAAGAGGAGAGAGTAATCAGGAGGACAGTAGATAGCGATTGAAATTGCATTTAAATTTTTACAGATCAAAGTTGGCTTCAAGCATGGAGCCGGAAGGGAGTTACACAAGTGCGAAGAAAAGAAACTCTCAGCATAGAACTTACGGCTACATCTAGCCAGCTCAGCTGTAAACTGATGAAATCTCGACGCTAGTCTGGTACTGTGTTTCAATTAAAAAGCTCTAGGTACCATAGCGAAGGGGACATCCGAACAATTACCATGAAAACTATTTACAGAAAAGACATAGAGAGTCAACCTCACGGCGGTGGTTAAGTGACTGAAGCCGAGCTGCCAGATCAGGACCAATAATATTGCTGATTCTTCTTTGGAGTTTATCAAGGAGCATTAGATAAATAACAGGAGCAACGGACCATATGTGACAGCAATATTCTAAGCATAAAAAAAATCCTCATCGGTATTTTGCTCGTTACGTTACAGATCAGGCGGTGGATAATATTGTATTTATTAGTCACACAGTTGGGATTATTTTAATTATAACTTGAATAGAAGACTTAGTTCCAAGTAGAACACATTAACAGTATTGTGTTAATAAATATTGTGCTACTATGTGCCGTTTTTGCTGTTGCGGTAACGAAAACGCATAGACCCAAAACCATATTTACAATCACACCTTACTACTACTACTATTAAAAAATGTGGCACATGGGAACATCGGTAATCACTGTTGTAGTTGGAGCCCTCGGATTGGTTGGAAAAGATTCCAATAGACTCATTGAAGGGATTCCTTGTAGTCCATGTCTAAAAGAAATGAAAAAAAATTTTCTCACGAGTATAGTCCACACCTTACGAAGGGCTTTATGTATGTAAAATATGATTTTTTTTCTTTTAATTGCTCAGTAGAAAATGTCATGATGCTATTTCTGACCTTAGGTCTCTGGTAGGCACCCGGAGAGAAATGAGTACACATCAGAAATAAAAGGTAATAATAATAATAATAATAATAATAATAATAATAATAATCCGAAGTCTATCAGTATGAGAAATCAACGAAGTGGGCTCAAATTCAGATTAAGGTATTTCCTTGTTAATTTTAAAATACTTTTTTCCTCGCCGTCATTTAATATTCTACCAGCTGGTTTCGAAGTAGTGTTCGATCCTTTCTATATGACTCTTGCTTGTGGATTAGTGACTATGTTAAGCCTAGTAAATATCCGTATGTAATGATAGACTGTTAGACTCGAACATCATTATGACTGAGTACTAATTTCAATAGTGAAGATACTAAGATAAGGAAACATCGCCAACTAATGCGTCATCAATCTCATTAACCTTGTGTTTATTCAAATTAGATAAAGTTTTTATCGGCTGCAGCTTCACGGGCAGACAAAAATAATAAAAATTGATATTCGTTTGGCGTCTTATCAGTAATGACAGATCAGGAATATTAAATAAGTCACAAAATGAACAGGTCAGCAAAAGAGACAATGAAAAATTAATAAAGGCGAATTGCAGCGAGAGAAATATTGATATTGTTAAACAAAACATATCTCAAATATTGTTGTTCTGTGAATATTATTAAATAAAACATGTTTCTCTCTCTGCTGTTGTTGAGTGAATAGTATTAAAAAAAGTCCATGATTCAGTATTGTTGCTAGGTGAATAAGTTTAAAGAAAATAAAACTCAATATTATTGTTGATTGAATAGAATTAAACTTATCATGACTCAACACTGTTGTGGGATAAATAAGTGTTGAAGCTTGGGTAAGCATGGAATAATAATAATACAACACAAAATGTACGTAAACAAAATGTATTGAAACAAGGAAAAGGTACACAATATTTACAGTTAGTTTTGGTATATTCTTGGGAAGACTGTTCCTTGTCGAATGGGTTGACTTAATCGCAGTCGGGCAGAGTCTCTGGATTGGTTCTCTTGTTACTCCCTCGTCTTCCCGGTACCAACCCATATTTATATGGTCGGTACTCCACTATGTAAATTAGGTGGATTGTACCACAACAATAAGATTAAACAAATCATGTCTTCAGTATTGTTGTTGTGTCAAAAGTATTAAAAAAATCATGCCTCAGTGTCGATGTTGGATGAACAGGATAAAAAAATCCTGATTAATATTATTGGCTGAATAGACTTAAGCAAATCATGACTCACTATTTTTCCTGTGTAAAAACGATTAAACAACGTCTCAATATTGTTACTGGGTGAATATGCTTAATAAAATCATGACTCAATATTGCTATTGGGTGAATAGGGTTAATCAAATTATAACTCATTAGTGTTATTAGGTGAATATGCTTTAGAAAAGCATGAATCAATATTGCTGTTGGGTGAATAGGATTAATCAAATTATGACTCATTAGTGTTATTAGGTGAATATGCTTAAGAAAATCATGACAATATTGCTGTTGGGTGAATAGGGTTAATCAAATTATGACTCATTAGTGTTATTAGGTGAATATGCTTTAGAAAATCATGACTCAATATTGCTCATGGGCGAATGTGATTAATGAAATTATGACTCTTTAGTGTTATTAGGCGAATAGGATTAAGCAAATCATGACCTAATATTGCTGTGGTGTTAGTGCAGACAATAGAAACAGACTAAATAATTTCTTTTGTCAGAAATATTTGGTCGCATACTCCCTGGTCGTTCTCGGGTGCGTGTTGCTTTCTCGGTAGCGTTTCATAGAGAACCACATAAAAACTGTACGAAGCGCGGAAACAATAAATTCCCTTTGCTTTACTATCGAAGTATTTATTAGGCTGTGTCAGTCACATGACTATGTAATTAGGAGATCGATGTCAGTTGTTATAGTCTGTTAGGAGTTATTGCTAACTACTGTTCTATATCGATACATCGTTTTGCATATGATATATAAACATAAATAACGCATTTTGAGAAATGCATAATATTCAAATGTGAATTATATAATAATAGTTAAATAATCATGTGACACCCCCCTCACCTTTGCGAAAGCAAATAAATTTATTCGAGACGTTTCACGGGGAACGAAAAGCAATTTTGGTTGGTGAATATATCGTTCTTTCAGAGATGGTGTTTACGAATAAAAGCGAAAAATGAATTTACGTCACAGATGACGTATTAGTTGTTCTTTCTGTATTGGAATAGAAACGGATAATGGAAAGAAAGAAAGAAAGAAAGAAAGAAAGAAAGAAAGAAAGAAAGAAATATTAAACAAAAAGAAAGAAAAGAAAAATAAAGAAAGAAAAGAAAAAGAAAGAAAGACAGAAAAAAGAAACAAAGAAATGTTAAACAAAAAGAAAGAAAGAAAAGAAAAAATAAATAAATAAAGAAAGAAACAAACAAACAAACAAATTTTAAACAAAAAGAAAGAAAGGAAAGAAAAAAGAAAGAAAGGAAGGAAGAAAGAAAGGAATAAGAAAGCGAGAAAGAAACAAACATATAAGAGAACAAAAGAAGGCAGAAGAAACAAAGGAAGGGAGGAAAGAAAAAGAAAGAAAATGTGGACAATATTAAAGAGAGAAAGAATGAAAAGGGAGAAGAAAGAAAGAAACGGTAAAGAAAGAAGGAATGCGTTAAAAGAAAGAAAGTATTTAAAAAAGAAAAAAAAGAAATTTAATAGAAATAAAAAGTAATGGTGAAGAATGAAATAAACAATTAAAACGCAATAGAAAGTAAGAAAAAAGAAATGGTGAACAAAAAGAGAAAAGTAAGAAAGAAAAAAGAAAAAAAGGAAGGGAGAAACAGAAAGAAAAAATGGTAAATAATAAAGAAAGAAAGAAAGAAAGATTTTGAATAACAGAAAGAAAGATGGAAGGAAAGAGTGGAAGAAAGAAAGAAAAATATGGATAGAAATGGCGAACAAAATGAGAGAAGGAAGGTAGAAAAGAAACAAAGAAAGAAAGAAAGACGGAAAGAAAGAAAGATTTTGAATAACAAAAGGAAAGATGGAAGAAAGAAAGAAAAATATGAATAGAAATAGCGAACAAAATGAGAGAAGGAAGGAAGGAAGGAAGGAAGGTAGAAAAGAAAGAAAGATTTTGAATAACAGAAAGAATGATGGAAGGAAAGAATGGAAGAAAGAAAAAATATGAATAGAAATGGCGAACAGAATGAGAGAAGAAAGAAAGAAAGAAAGAAAGAAAGGAAGAAAGAAAGAAAGAAAGAGATAAAATATAAATTCGACAAGAATAATGATTGGACGAGGCAACTGAGTTGTTACGATGGAACTGATGCCGCAAATTCGACTTATCTCAAAGCCGTGAAACGTCACTTGTACAGCTTCTCTAGTTGCGATAAAGCTCTGCTGACAATGAGGCAGGTGATTACGTAGAGATTCCGGCGGTATGGTGATGGTTGTGATGATGACGATGGTGGAAATGCACGGAAGTCTTATCCGCCTGTACGGCTTCCACAGCCACCCAGCCGATAGACCTGCAGCTGCCATACTTATGAACAGTGGAAGTAACACATGGTAGCTGAAAAGCAATCATATTTGGAATTATATATTTTACAAGTATGAGGATGCATTTGTTCTAGGTAAACATTCAAGAGGTGATATTTTTTAATCATTACACCCTAAGGAAAAACGATGAGCTTTTCAGGTGACCGTCGTAAAAAATGAAAGATGTCACTTTTTGTTTCTTTGTTTCGTAACATGTCATACTAAATCATACAAATATATAAAATTAACAAGTGAATCCTGGTAATGATAATGGTAATATTAGCCGTTTCCTTATAAGGAAACATTCGGCATTCATTGGCCTAGCAGCCAGTTTCTCTCAAATTACGATTTTCTTCACTCACTGTTTATCGTGATGGGATCAAAGTGTAGTATCTGTTCTCATCATCTCTAATTATAATGGTAATATTAGCCGTTTCCTTCAAAGAAAACATTCGGCATTCATTGGCCCAGCAGCCAGTTCTATTCAAATTACGATTTTCTTCACTCATTGGTCATCGTGATGGGATCAAAGTGTAGTATCTGTTCTAATCATGTCTAATTATAATGGTAATATTAGCAGTTTCCTTATAAGGAAACATTTGGCATTCTGTAACCGAGCAGCTAATGCCACCGTCGGTTTCTTAAATCTTTCTCTTAAAACTGTTTTTAGAGCATTAAATTTCTCAAGTCCAGTAAGTCATCTCGCATTCCTTCCCAATCATATTTTTTTTTTAAATATTGCTCAATGTTAACATCTTAATCATGATATTATTTTTATCGTCAGATTCACATTACTCTATTGTCTTTTGAACCGGAGTAAATGTTTATCCCTTGTTTCCTGTTTAGAATTTGGTTTCCGGCTCCTTATAAAGTTTTTTCGCTCTGTTTCACTTCCAGTAACCCCTTGCGTCTTAGTGGCATTATCGCCTTGCTTGAGGTAAACTGATTAAAACAATATCCATTTTCAAAAGACATAGACAGTCGATAGTAAACAGAGATTTATTCAGTTCTCGTTGGTCCGCAAGTGAAAAACAAAGTCACTTTCACAACAGTGTCGTCATCGCGCAATCGAACCTTTGATGCGTGTATTTGTAATTGCGAGTACACCCATGTTTCTTTTGATCTCTGGTTACTGTTAAGTGTTTAACAGATAGCTGATGTAATTACAGTCTGGGTCATAGGATAGAATTTGCAGTGTGTTTTGCCGACGTGATATCTTACCTTAGGCCAGTGGTCCTCAAACATTGTTTTCTCTGGACCGCATTTCGGAATGAAAATTTGCTCACCAAATTTTAAGTGATAAAAATCACATTTAAAAATAAAAAAAAGACAGAGAATGTTAAAAGGATTCGAAGTCAGAACATTATCATTGATAACTCTCTCCTCCAATTTGCAGATCCTAGTTACTATATTCTTAATACTTGATATAATGCAAAAATATCACAATGAAAAATCGGTCAAAAATTATTTATAACTATTTATACTGGGACTCATGCATGTAATTACAATTAATTGTTGATTTAGTAGTGAATGACAGCAAGACACTTTCCCCTTTTATAGGCAGAGGCACACAAATCCATGTTTTTATTAGCCAATAAAATAGGCCGGTTTGCGGTTTCATCTGACTAAGTTCCGATCTGTCTTGTCTTGAAGTCAGAATGCTACTTTCGCTTGTCCGAATTTGCTTTTTTGTGTGTCAACACTAATTCTTAATTAGTGAAATGCTTTGCCATATTACTGTTGATTTGTCTTGCATAAATTGCTTGCTTTCTTAATGTTCTTTTTGCTCTGTTCCTTTCTTTTCTTTCTCTTGTTATTGCTTATTGCAAAATTTGCCAGTTTATTTTTGGCATATGAATATGTTTCTAAATCTGTGATTGTATTTCAATCACTCCGCCTCACCCGCTATTCTATTCTGGCGCACCGTTTGGAAATCACTGATATAGAGAATCAGACCGGAAATAGGATAAGTACAGTGCGGGTTCGTTAATGACACTGGAACAAGGAATGCGATTTTTATGCTCAGAATGATATCAGAAAGAGAAATACACGCGCGGAAAGATGTGTATCTGTGTTTTATACATTATACAAAAGAGTTTGATAACTTTTTTGTTTCTGGGCCGCACTTTCAGAATTAAAATTTACTCGCACATCACCAAATTTTACATTTAAAAATAGAAAGGGTTAAAGGGAGATAACCATGGATTCGAAGTCTGAACATTATCATTGATAACTCTCTCCTTCAATTTGCGGACCTTAGCTACTATATTCTTAATAATTGATGTAATACAAAAATATCACAGTGATAAAATTTCTCAATAATTATTTATATCGATTTATACTGGGAGCCATGCATGCAACTACAAATAATCCATAATAATATTTTAAATTTTGGAATCATATTTATTTTTGGCGTATGAATTATTTGAAACTGTTTTTAAATCTTTGATTGTCTTTCAATCATACCGCCTCACCTGCTATCCTCTTCCGCCTCACCAGCTATCTTCTACAGCCTCACCTGTTATCCCCTTCCACCTCACCAGCTATCTTCTTCAGCCTCACCCGTTATCCTCTTCCACTTAACCTGATATCCTCTTCCGCCTCACCTGCTATCCTCTTCCGCCTCACCTTTTATCCTCTTCCGCCTCACCTGCTATCCTCTTCCGCCTCACCTGTTATCCTCTTCCGCCTCACCAGCTACCTTCTTCACCCTCACCTGTTATCCTCTTCCACTTAACCTGCTATCGTCTTCCGCCTCACCTGCTATCCTCTTCCGCCTCACCAGCTATCTTCTTCAGCCTCACCTGTTATCCTCTTCCGCCTCACCAGCTATCTTCTTCAGCATCACCTGTTATCCTCTTCCACTTAACCTGCCATCCTCTTCCGCCTCACCTGCTATCCTCTTCCGCCTCACCTGTTATCCTCTTCTGGCGCACCAATGAGGCGCGCCGCAGCATTTGGGAACCACTGCCTTAGGTTATCAGAAAAACAAACATTTTTGTTAAGATATCTAGCGATGGTTTAAAGCATAGGAATGTCATTCCATGTCTTTTGAAAGGTGTGTAGCATTATTTGAACATAAGTAGGCAAGCTTAGCTGGAGGTCGTAATCGGTCTGTCGAATGCACAATTCTAGGCTAATAACTGTTACGTCGCTCTGAACCTCCACAATAAACACATACACCATTGTGCAAATTAATTGAAACAAAACAAATTATTCCGTTATTATTTACTTTTTTTCGTATTTTTCCAATAAATCATGACCCAGTGCGCATGTTAGTATATCGTATGTCCATTCCACGAAGTCGTTCCTTGCAGATTGACCACAGATTCTAGATTGGATTTAAATCAGGAGAGTTTCCGGTCCAGTCTATAATACTTTGATTTACTCACTGGTAAGGTTTGCCAGTGTGTTCGTGCAACGTTACAATTTTCGTACGCTTCCTTGGAGTAACGTCCATCGCAGGCAATAGCCGTAGGACAGCTAATCAACAGTCGAGACAATAGTGTCTGGGCGAGATAAAAATCTGAGGCAATCACGGATGACGCAATATTTTTCAAGGCCAAACAAATTTCATCATACATCCCGAAAATAGATTCATATTACTGCACACCACTGAAAATAACCTACTCTGAGGAAAAAATAGAAATCGATTACTCCCT